GGGGGGAGCTGAGGAGACGTGGGTGGGGGAGGGAGGTGTGGCTGGCATGGCAAAGAGGGTGTTTCAGGTGTGGAAGGGCAATAATAGGTTCCTGTGTGGAGGAAGACTGATATTTGGCCCAGATGTGAGGTCGCTGCTGGTTACCATACTTCTGATAACCGTGCCGTGTGGCTTATTCATCGGTTTTGTAGCAAATGATTTAAGGCATGAGTTGGGTGGTTTGGCCATCATGATAGTGTCAGGCGTTTACGTGGCATGGGTGCTCTTGCTACTATTTCTGACGTCAGCCCGCGATCCCGGTATCATGCCGCGAAGCACGTCGCCACCGGATCCGGAGGACGACTCAGGGACCATTCAGCACACTAACACCTCGTCCTTCTCCCAAGAGTTTGGCGGCGGATCGAGCGCAAAGAGGAAGCTCCCTCGGACGAAAGACGTTGTCATTCGTCCCGGTGTGGTCGTGAAGATAAAGTATTGCGACACGTGCATGCATTACCGGCCGCCACGTTGCTCTCACTGCTCAATCTGTAACAACTGTGTGGAAAGATTCGATCATCACTGCCCCTGGGTGGGACAGTGCATCGGCAAGCGCAATTACCGTTTTTTCTTCATGTTCGTTGTCTCCACTACACTGCTATGCATCTATGTGTTTGGTTTGTCGGCTTTCTTGACGAAGAAATCAATGAGCAAGGAGGGCATGAATCTTTGGCGGTCCATGACGAAGAATCCTGTCGCTATCATCCTCATGGCCTACACTTTCGTGGCCGTGTGGTTCGTCGGTGGTCTTACCATCTTCCATTCGTATTTGATCAGCACTAATCAGACCACTTATGAGAACTTCCGCCATCGCTTCGAGAGCCAAGGCAATCCCTTCACGCAGGGCTGCCTGGCCAACTTCAAGGAGGTGTTCTGCACCCCTATCGATCCGTCGAAGAACAAGTTCAGAGCCTTTGTGACGGTGTCGGGGCCGCTGGCGGCATCCTCGGCGAGGTTAAGCGGTGGTGGAGGGGCGGGAGTGATGGAGTTGTCCCCTAGAAACGGGGGAGGGGGCGGGTTCGCTGCTGCTGCAGGAGGCGGAAGAGCGGCAGTGGGCCCGTCTGTGAGCTCGTCACAGCAGTCTCATACGTCGAATTTACGACACGTGGCGGGCTCCACGGCTGGAGACGGAAATGTGCAGATGCTCGCGCAGCATCAGCAGCATCAGCAGCATCAGCAGCAGCAACAACAGCAGCTGTATCATCAGCAACAGCAGCAACATCATCATCCGCAGCAGAACAGTCCGTGGCTGTCGCCCATACTTGCAAGAGGGAGTGGACGTTATTCGGGTGGGAGAGAAGGAGGAGGGCACCAGCAGCAGGATACGTTGGATGTCGCCATCACCGTGGACCTTCGGATGAGGGGAGAGGGCGAGAGGGCGTAACCAGCGTAGCTTCTTTGTCTAGCCCATCCGCTCTGTAAATACTTGTTCAAGGCGCGTGCTGGTGGCGCGTTTCCGCTCGTTTGCGCTGCCTTCCCGCCGCCGACTTGTTGAGACGTGCCATCAGTGGGTAGGTTTATGTATTTCCTCTTTCATGTTCGGATCCCCACCCCAATAGTTTGCACAGCCACCCAGCCTCTCCCTCTGCCCTC